AAAAAAAAAAAAAAAAATTCTAGAAGAGAGTGTGGGGAAAACACTTCAAGATACTGGCTTGGGAAAAAACTTTATGAGGAAGACCCCCCAAGCAATTGCAGCAACACCAAAAAAATAAATTAACTGGGACTTGATCAAGCTAAAAGCTTTTGCACAGCAAAGAGTACCACAGAGCAAACAGCCAGCCTTCGGAATGGGAGATTTTTGCATGTTATGAATCTGACAAAGGCCTGATAACTACAATCTACAGAGGACTCAAATTAAATAATAAGGTAAGTGCAAACAACTCTATAAGTGGGCAAGTGATTTGAACAGAAACTTCTCTGAGGATGACAGAAGAGTGGCCAATAAACACATGAAAAATGCTCATCATCTTTAATCATCAGAGAAATGCAAATCAAAACCATTCTAAGATATTACCTAACCCTAGCACAATTAGCCCACATCACAAAGTCCCAAAACACCAGATGCTTGAGTGGATGTGGAGAGAAGGGAACACTTCTGCACTGCTGGTGGGATTCCCTTTTTAAGAGAAGTATGAAGAATCCTCAAAGATCTAAAGTAGACCTTCCATAGACCCTGGGTATCTACACAGAAGAATAAAAATCATTTTACCACTAAGACATTTGCACTAGAATGCTTATTGTGGCTCAATTCATAATTGCCAAATTGTGGAAGCAACCTAAGTGCCCATCAACCCATGAATGGATCAATAAACTGTGGTATATGTATACCATGGAATATCATCCAGCCATTAAAAAGATGGAGACTTTACATCTTTTATAATTTTTGGCCAGGGCTGAGTTTGAACCTGCTACCTCTGGTATATGGGGCCAGCCCCTACTCCTTTGAGCCACAGGTGCCGTCCTTTACATCTTTTACATTCACCTAGATGGAGTTGAAATACATTCTTTTTTTTTTTTTTTTGAGACAGAGCCTCAAGCTGTCCCCCTGGGTAGAGTGCCGTAGCATTACAGCTCACAGCAACCTCCAACTCCTGGGCTCAAGCGAGTCTCCTGCCTCCGCCTCCCAAGTAGCTGGGACCACAGGCGCCCGCCACAACGCCTGGCTATTTTTTGGTTGCAGCCGTCATTGTTGTTTGGCGGGTCCGGGCTGGGGATTCGAACCCGCCACCTTAGGTGTACGTGGCTGGCGCCTTAGCCGGTTGAGCTATAGGTGCTGAGCCGAAATACATTCTTCTTAGTAAGGTATCACAAGAATGGGAACATAAATATCCAATGTACTCCATACTAGTGTGAAATCAATATATAAACAATTACATGTTCCTAAGAACAATTAAACACTAGTGTAGTACAGTTCAGGGATAGAAGGAAGAGAGAAGAGGGAGGGCAGGAGGCGGGATCTCACCTGATATGCATTGTGAGGGTGTATAACACGCTCCCTGGGTGAGGGGCTATTTTACAAATGGAACTTTACCGCAGAAGTGAGAACAATGTAACCTAAACATTGTACTCTCATATTAATTTGAATAAAGTTAAAAAAAACATAAAATGTTAAGTGCAGAACTCACCCCCAGCCCTCCTGCTGGGCCCCAAAACAGGGCAGGTTATTTCCAAAGGCATGAGAAGACCAATTGTGAGTCAGAAGGCTCAACCAGGAACATGAAGACAAACGAGACATAAACAGACACAAAAACCATACCCAGCCCACCACCAGGCAAGGGTCAGCAGACAGTGCTTGCAGCTGTTCAGCAACTGTTGTAATCAGAAGCAGCAGGTGCCTTGGCAGCATCCACAAGCTAAAACAGGCACTGGCCAAGACTCTAAAAGATGTGCTTTACAGGCTGGGTGCAGTGGCTCACACCTGTAATCCCAGCACTCTGGGAGGCTGAGATGGGAGGATCCCCTGAGCTCAGGAGTTTGAGACCAGCCTGAGCAAGAGCAAGACTCTTCTCTAAAAATAACCAGGCATCCTGTAGTCCCAACGACTTGGGAGGCTGAGGCAGGAGGATTGCGTGAGCCCAGCAGTTTGAGGTTCCTGTGAACTTTGACGCCACGGCACTCTACCCAAGGTGATAGAGACTCAAAAAAAACCTCAAAGAAAGATACGGTTTGCACACTGTTCCTTCTTGAAGCCGCCCCTGACAGGAAGTGTCTCAGATCAGAAAATGACCTGTGCGGCCCTCTCGTACCTGTCAATTTGGATTCTAAGGCCTCTACTGAAATCAGACGTTATTAATTATTATTAATCTCTCAGCTGGAAACGCACGTGATTAGACCTGCTGCCAACCACAGACCAGATACAACTCTACTATTCGCACTGCTTCCCTCTGGTGGTTTTTCCCACCTCACAGGCAGGGGTTTCCCTAAAACCCACACCAGGCGCACTTTTATCTCTCCGGATAAACCGGGGTCCCTGAGCAACAGTGAGTGCCGCCACCCCAGGCTCGCGGGGAAAGGCCGAGGCCTGGGCCCCAAGGACACGCTGGAGTTCGGTGAGGAGCCCCCTCTCCCATGAAGACCCTGAACTCCCGGGAATGAGGAGCTCCCGAAGTGAGGCGCCCCCAGGTTGAGGAGCCCCGGGGGGAAGAGCCTGGGGGTGAGGTGCCCGGGAGCTGTCACGAGGGGACACGAGTGGTTCGGCCAGAGGAATGCTGTGTCCACCGCCCGCAGGGAGAGGCAGGGTTGTACTCGACCTCCCGCCCTGAGGGCCCCAGCCGTGGCAGCGCGCGCTGACCTCTCCCGCCCCTGTCGTCGTTGTCCCTCGGAGCAAAGCCGCCTGGTGGCTCTTGCCCGGAAGCGGGGCGGCGGAAACAGAGAGCAGAAGTGAAGCTCTTGCCCAGACCTAACATGGCCGCCAGAATACCAGCCGCTGTGGCAGAGGAACTGCCCGGAGTAAATATGGCCACCGCAGGCCGTTCACGCGAGGGGCGGGCTCAGATCGTCACGCCCCAGCCCCAGCATCCCGGCAGGACGTTGACCCGGGACCTTCCCATTGGTCGCTGCTCGTGGCGATCCTGGATTGGGCCACATAAGGCCGGGACGGGTCCCTCTCACCAATAGCGGCGCGGGGCTATGTGGTTGGGCGGGGCCTCGCCGGCACGGTCAAGTAGCCGGGGGAACCGCCGGCGCGGCTCGGAGCGGGTGGGCGCCCGGGAGGCCGGATCCGTGCGGCTGCGGGACCTGGAGCGCTAGCGGCGTTTTCCCGCAGCGCTGCCCGCCATGCGCCCGCCGCCCCGGGCCGCGCTGGGGCTCCTGCTCCTGCTGCTGCTGCTGTTTCTGCCGCACATGCCACAGGCCACCAAGAATCCAACGCTCTGCAAGCGGTGCCGGGGACTGGTGGACAAGTTCGAGCAGGTGGGCGGGCCGCGGAGGGGGACTGGACCCGGGCAGGGCCTGGGGGCTGGACTGCTGGGAGGCTAGGCGGGGGGCTGAGGGAGTGGCGGGACCTGGGGGTCGGGGGCTGAGTGGCTGGGGTGCGGGGCGCTGAGGATCTGGTGGGGGAGGGGCGAAACCGCCCTCCTGCGGGCTCAGGTCCCCCGCACACACTACGGGCCTGGGCTGGCGTTGAGGGCGGGCAGCATAGAGCCTGGTGGGCACCTTCTTCTCGCAGGGGATGGTGAACACAGCAAAGAAGAATTTTGGCGGTGGGAACACGGCTTGGGAAGAAAAGACGCTGTCCAAGTATGAATTCAGGTAGGTGCCCTTGAGCACCTGCGAGCTTCTTGGATGGGCCTTGTCCTGAGAAGACCAATGTCCTGCCCAGGGGATCTGTGTTAATAACAGGTACACAGAACAGTTCCTTCGATACCAGTCTCTTTAAGTCGCCTTTGCTTCTGGGCTGTGACTGATGCACTGGCCCCTCTGGCCTTCCCGCTTCCACAGTGGTCCCCACAGCCTACTCTCATTCCAGAATGTAAATGGGAACGTAAACAGGAACGCAGGTCTCATGTCTGGAGAATTACAGCCCAGCGAATTTCTCCACGTGAAGAGAAAGCCCCTGGCTTCCCTTCCCTCTCCTGCTAGTTCAGAGTCTTCCTCACTGCAGTGCCACTGTAGTTCCAGCCCAGCACCTGGCAGGGCCACAGGACATCCCTGTGGAGCGAATGCTGCCACTGCGGCCTCCTGGGTGCTGACAGTGGTTGTGTTTCAGCGAGATCCGCTTCCTGGAGATCGTAGAGACCCTGTGTGCCAGCAGCGACTTTGAGTGCAACCAGATGCTGGAGGAGCATGAGGAGCACCTGGAGGCCTGGTGGCTACAGCTGTGAGTGCCCAGGCCCACCTCCCCACACCCTGCTCCATTCCTACTTTCTAACTCACAGGTGTCAAATTGTTTCAGACTTAGAACAGTGGTGAAAACAGAACAGAGTTCTCACCTGTCCCTGTCTTACCCACATGTTGCCGTCTCTGTTACTGCAGGGTACCCACGCCCTGGTTTCTCAGATGCTAGAATATTCTGGAGTATATATCATATGAAATTGCATTTTTGTTTTAACGCATCTAACAGGTAAGATTTAATGAATTTTTTTTTTTTAATTCTTAGGAAAAATGAGTATCCTGACTTATTTGAGTGGTTTTGTGTGAAAACGCTGAAGGTGTGCTGTTCTCCAGGAACCTATGGACCAGACTGTCGTGGTAGGTTTTTTTCTTGGGGAAATCTCAAGTCTCCAGCTTCATACCCATTAGTCCTCTCTTGATTCCCAAGTGGTAAGAGTACAGAGGGGTCCTGGGGTGCATTAATTCTCGGTATGGTCTGAGACCCTGTCTCTTCCACAAGAAAAGACACTCCTCCACCGCCTACCCCTACTCCCACCCAGGCATCATGGAACACCTCACACCCTAGGGCTGTGGCATCACCACTAACGTCACATAATTTGCTGGGCTGTAAAACTCTTGAGAATCTAATCTCAGCTGTGCTTTTAAATCAGGGGTTCACAGACTCAGTAGCTTACAAGCCAGACAGCTCACCTAGGGGTTGGTCCTAACTGACCTGACTGGCGGCTTCTCTCCTCGTGCAAGAGGATGGCCATACTCTGGTTTCCATAGCCACCAGCATAGCCCTGCCTGCAGAGCAACACAGACCCTTCTCTGAAGGGCTAACGGTGGTGGGTGTCCTTTAGCCTTTATGGGTAAAGAAGTGGACATTGAAATTGAAGTGATGGTTTACAAATGCCAGTTCTAGCGGTCAAGCTGGGTTAGGTAGCGTAAGTGTCAAGTTTAGACCTCCCTACTGGCTGCAGCTGCCTCCTGCTTTCCTTGGTGTAGATACTGCAGTTGGGGTTTGTTCTCTCTCTCCCGTGAGGCCCACGTCTCTGATGTGTGTCCTCCTAGTCCCTACATATCCAGTGACACTGCTCCAAACCACGCAAGGACAGTCATGTGTTGCTTAATGACAGGGTCCATTCCGTAGGTGATGTCCCTATTGTGGGGATGTCATAGAGTGTCCATGCATACTCTGTCCTACTTAACTATTTCCCATCCTCCCCATGTGTTGCTGTCTTTACTACCAGAGGCACCTAGAGTCAGGTTCCCCTGATTAGGCTATTTATTTTTTCTCTTTCTTTCATACCATTTCACACCATTTCTCACTGTGTTGTCCTGGGTAGAGTGTCATGGCATCATCATAGCTCACAGCAACCTCAAACTCCTGGGCTCAAGCAATCCTCCTGCTTCAGCCTTCTGAGTAGCTGACTACAGGGGCCTAGCTAGTTTTGCTATTTTTAATGGAAATGGGGGGTCTCGCTCTTGCTCAGGCTTGTCTTGAACTCTTTTTGTTGTTGTTTTTGAGACAGAGTCTCAGTATGTTGCCTTCGATAGAGTGCTGTAGCAGCACAGCTCACAGCAACCTCTAACTCTTGGGCTTAAGCAGTTCTCTTGCCTCAGACTACAGGCACCCACCACAATGCCTGGCTTTTTTTTGTTGTTGTAATTGTCATTGTTTGGCAGGCCCAGGCCAGTTAGAACCCACCAGCCTTGGCATAGGTGTCCAGTGCCCTAGTCACTGAGCTACAGGTGCTGAGCTTGATCTCAAACTCTTTAAGATGAAACAATCCTCCCCCCTTAGCCTCTCAGAGTGCTGGGATTACAGGCATGAGCCACCAAGCCCAGCCTAGGCTACTCACTCTTCTCTCTCAGTGCTTCTGGAAAAGGTGCTACAGCCAGCTACACACCTGTACGGATGCAGTGCTGAGGACTGCTGACAGCTGCAGGCAGTTTTGACACAGTGGTACATGTTTGTGTATCTAAACATAGCTAATCGTGAAAAGACAGGTTAACTTTTTCAGCTCCATTATCTTATAGCAGCACCATGGGACACTCAATCCCTGGCTGGCCTGAGTGTCATCACATGCACGTGACTGTCAAGTCCATGAAGCTGTGGCCCACCCAGGCCGGCCACCTGCTCTTAGTCATGCAGAAACCCCAGGAAACTGGTTTCTCCAAACACCCTGGCCATGCTTGAGACTGTTTCTTCGGCTGGTCACATGAGATTCTGCCTGTGTATATGTTGCGGGGCACAGCGTCTTTCTACCTGCTGCCACCAGATGTTCTCAGAGATGGGTTTGTGTTCCCCAAAGTGTGCCAGGGCGGGGCTGAGAGGCCCTGCAGCGGAAATGGCCACTGTAGCGGAGATGGCAGCAGACAGGGGGACGGGTCCTGCCAGTGCCACATGGGCTACCGGGGTACACTCTGCACTGACTGCGTGGACGGCTACTTCAGCTCACACAGGAACGAGACCCACAGTGTCTGCACAGGTACGGAGGTGGCAGCCTGCTTATGCGGTAATCTCTGAACCCTAGATTGTCCTGGGAAGCTTAGCAAGCTCAGGAGACATGACCCTCCTGAAACGTGTGAAGGAGAATGACAGGTTCTTGGGGGGCTTCCTGGAGAATGACAGGTTCTTGGGGTGCTTCCTGTCCCTAAGCAACCCCAGAAGGGAGGAGCTACTTGCTTTTCTGAGTCCTTCTGGAGAAGAACTTAAAAGTTCCATCAGTACTGAATTGGCCAGTTCTGTTATCTCTGTGCTTGGTTCTCCTGGTTTTTGGACCTAGCACCTGGTGAGCCTCACTCTGCTGGTTTGATTGCCTGACACTTTCTGGCAGAAGGCTTACTTTCCCCTGCAGCTATCCCCACAGCGCAAGTTGCCCTAGAGCACCCCACATGTCAAAGTGCAGGAGTAACCAGAGAACAGGACTGAGCCCCCACCAGTGCCATAGCAGGAGGTGGGATAGAGAGATGGTCTCACGTGAAAGAAAGTTAGGGTTCTTGGAGGCCTCCTGTGCCTCGCCCAGCTCTCCTGGGGCACAGTGTCTTACTTACCCTGGCACTGGGTGAGGTAGGCGGAACTACCCTGGCTGTTACTTCAGTGCTTCCCTCCTGGGGGAGTTTTCAGATCATCCTGTCTGGCTGCCTAGAGGTAGCTGAGACCACCCACAGAGATAAGCTCGGCCCATGTCCACCTCATGGTGTTGCCTCAGCCCCATGAGCCTACAGGGCAGTGTCCTCTGTATACACATGGGGCTCCTCTGGGTTCTGTGTGGCCATGCCAGGATGTGTTTGCCCTGCTCCCAGCATACCTGCCACCCTTAACATCTGCACAGAAAGCTGTGCAGTGTCATCTTTCTGAAATGTATCTTCTCACTGCCTATCAGTGACATGCAGGAAAACTGGGTGTTGATGTCAGAAAATCAAGTTAGTGGCTGGTCTGTGGCTCCCTGGGATGTCCTGTGTAGGTAAAGTGCCGATGCCAGTCAGGACATGGCCTTTTTTTGTTTGTTTGTTTGTTTGTTTGTTTGTTTTTGAGACAAAGTCTCACTTTGTCACGCTTGGTAGAGTACCATGTCATAGCTCACAGCAACCTCCAACTTTTGGGTTTAAGTGATTCTTTTGCCTCAGCTTCCCACGTAGCTGGGACTACAGGTCCCTGCCATAACACCTGGCTATTTTTTGTTGTTTTAGCAGGCCCGGGCCAGGTTCAAACCCACCAGCTCTGGTGCAGGTGGCCTGCGCCCTAACCACTGAGCTATGGGCACCCAGCTTGACCTGTTTCTGATTCCTACATCCTGTCTCTCCCTGGCTCTTGGACATTGCTGCCATGTAGGACACATGTGGCTTGGTGACCAGTACATGCCCCCCAGCCAGGTGTGGGCTCCAGACTGTGGGCAGCTGCCTTCTCCAGGCCATAAGAAATTCTCTTAACAGTGTGGATTTTATCCTCAATGGGTTATCCATGTGTTGTTTTCCTCTTGAATACGGGAATACTATAAATCCATGGGTAGATTTTTCTGTTGAACTAATCTTGCTTTCCTGGGGTTTTTCTGGTTTTGGTTTTTGTTACCCCCTGCTGAACTTAAACCCCTTATTTCTCAGGCGCATTGCCTCCTGAGAATGGGCTCACACCCGCCTTTGCCTTCCAGCCTGTGACGAGTCCTGCAAGACATGTTCTGGCCCGACCAGCAGGGACTGCAGCGAGTGCGAAGTGGGCTGGGTGCTGGAGCAGGACGCCTGCGTGGGTGAGGAGGGCACCGGGGCTCTGCGAGGTCTGCTCCCACCCAGCCTCCAGCTCTTCCTGCCTCTGCTCCTTCTGCATGTGGGAAAGTGACTCTGGCTTTGTACCGGAGCCCACGTGACAGCCCAGGCTCACACCAGCCATGGGCAGTTTCAGGAAGGACTGTATGGCTTCCTTTGTACCTTCCACAGCCCAAATCCTGCTGCGGCCAAGCTCACTGTCAAGGGTCCTAGAGGGTTGTGGCTTATGGCCCAAGCTGCCCTGGGACACTATGGTGCCTGTGAGAACTCACCTGACTCAGGCCCTGTAGAGGGGACCCTCAGGTTGTGAGCCCATGGTGTCCCTTGTGCTGGTTTCATAAAACTCAGACAAGGCAGTACTGGGGGCGCTTCCGGCTGGCAGGGGATCCTGGGGAGCCTGAGTTGGGGCAGGGAATAGAGACATAGCCACATCCAGAAGCCAAGTGGGTTGGGGAGAGCTGTCCTCACCAGAAAGGAGGTACTATCTCCCTGGTGTGGGGCTGCTCTGGGTTCTGCATGGCCATGCCAGGTGGTGTTTGCCCTGCTCCCAGCACACCTGCCTCAGTGGGCATCTTTTCCTGCCATCCTGCATCCATCTATCTGTGAGCATGGTGCCTGCACAGCCAGCCCTGCAGCACCTCTGAGCTCCAAGGAAGCCATGGGCCACTCTCCCACCCCCATGCAGTCCCCACTCTTGGTTTCACACTTGCAGCTGCTTGGCCTTAGGCAAATTAAGGGCCAAGTCCAGGCGGCTTTCACACCTTTAGTAGGGATGTTGAGGGACCTTGAGCCATGATCCTTATACAGCCCTCCCCCAGTGGCACCAGAAGTCGACAGGACAAGGCATGGTGTTGAGATATGTTCATGTGGAGACTGCTTCCCTTCTCTAGCCACTTAGGTTGTGGGTTGTGCTGGGCAAGGAACCCTGTCCTCTAAAGATACTCCTTCAGCTCAGCTCTCCTGGAGTCTACTCACAGCTACACTGTTCTGTTCCAGATGTGGACGAGTGTGCAGCAGAGACCCCTCCCTGTAACAACACACAGTATTGTGAGAACATCAATGGCTCATACATGTGCGAAGGTGTGTCTGGACCCCGCATCTTGTCTATGTGATCAGGACTGGGGACCAGGGGCAAGCTTGCACTCCCAGGAGCACTGCTGGAATTTTAATACTTGATGTTTTTGTTTTCTTCTGAGACAGGATCTTCACCCTAGCCCTAGACTCTGTCTCATGGGCTAGGGTGAAGTGGCCTCATCATCATAGCTCACAGCAACCTTAAAGTCCCAGGCTGAAGTGATTCTCCACCCTCAGCCTCCTGAGTTGCTGGGATACAGGTGCATGCCACCATGCATGGCTGATTTTTCTTATTTTCAGTAAAGACCAGGTCTCTCTACATTCCCTGGGCTGGTTTCAAACTCCTGATCTCAAACTTCCCACCTCAGACTCTCAAAGTGCTGAGGTTACAGGTGTGAGGCACTGCACCCAGCCTATTTCTTCCTTTTTAAACATTTACCTGCGATTTATTAGCTTGACGTCTATATATTCTGTCTGCTTTTAAAATATTTTATGTGGGGACACAAGTAAAAGAAATTTGCTACAGAAAATCATTAAATTGAAAAGACATTAAGTCTCATAATCTCATTTCAAGTGAAACCTATTAACATTCTGATACATCCTTGTAGACTGGTCCTGCCAAAGGTGATTTTACATAGTGCCTTGTCTGTTTTCATTCCACAGTATGCTGTGAACATCTGTGTACATATTTTTCTACATGTTAATGGCTTTGTAACATACCATTTCACACCTAAACAATCTGTACTGCTGGACATTTAAATCAAACTAGCCATTATAAACTTTGAACGCACTTGCAAGGGAAACTTTTTGCATTCCTCATTTTCTTTGGATTAATTTCCAAATTCTTCAGTCAAGGGAATGTGTATTTTAGGGCCACATTGTCCCCAGTGACATTGTGCCAATTCATAATACCAGTGGCAAGGAGGAAGCTATCTCCCCCATGTCTGTAACAGCACTGGGTAGTTTTCGTTTATTTAGCACTAACTGTGGGATCTCTGACAGGGAGAGGTGGCCCTAGAAGCCCCAAGAGGGTTTCCGTTCAGCTCTTCTCATTGAACTAGTAGGCAAATCAGCCAGTGTCCCCAAGTTTGAGTGGCTTTTGTTTCAAGAACATGTGTCCAGTTTGCACTTCAATGGAAGGATGTGCAGGAGCATCTCCTGCTATAGCACTTCAGGGGCGGGTCTGGTACACAAACCAGAACTTCTGCCAGGAGAAAAAGATGGGTTTGTGCAAAGTGAGTATAGTAACCTGTGGGGAGAAAGCCCAGATCCTCACTGGTATCAGTGCCTCTGTCATCTCTGTGGTGCATGTCAGATATCGGTTTGCGCGTGTGGACAATGGTCTGATCTTCCCTTCTTATCCCTAGATTGTGATTCCACTTGTGTGGGATGCACAGGAAAAGGACCAGGAAAGTGCAAAGAGTGTGTCCCTGGCTACACGAAGGAGAGTGGGCAGTGTGCAGGTCAGTGGTGTCAGCTCTGTGCTGGGCTGAGGTGGGAATTCCTGGAGGGACCCCCAATGTGGATGGCCCAGGAGGTGCTGCCAGCAGATGCGGCCCCTCAGGCTTTACTGTGCATACCCCAAGGTTTCAGAACCTGCAGAAGTGGCCAGCATGAGTTCAGGGCTCTGCCACTGGGTAGTGATGGTGCTGTTGTGACAACTGCCCCATAGCCACCTTGTTCTCTGGTCCAGTCTCCAGGGCCCAAGCCTCCACTTTCCTGGTCACCCTTGTAGCTTCAGGTGAGGGCCTCTTTGGTTGTGGCCTGCCTGGGAAGTCCTGGGTTGGCTGAACTGAATTAGAAAGGCAGTAGATTTGCTGATGCCTCTGCTGCCCTTGGCCCTGCATCAGCATGCAGGGGGCTTTCCATCCCCACCTTTGCCTGCAGTCTCTCCACTGGATTTTCTACCAGCTCAGGGTCTTACTTTTGCAATGGGAAATTCTACCCTCTGAAAGCCTTTCCTGATCTTTTTTCCTTTCTTTAATGTGATATTTGCGATCTTTGTGCTTTCATTATAGGAATGGATGGATTTCATAATCTGATGTGTATCCATTAAACCACGTAACTTACTAAAAATGGGGGTGTTTTTGTTTTAGATATAGATGAGTGCTCACTAGCTGAGAAAGTATGTTCCAGGAAAAATGAAAACTGCTACAATACTCCAGGGAGTTATGTCTGCGTGTGTCCTGATGGCTTTGAAGAAACAGATGACGCTTGTGTACCAGAAGGTGGTAAGTGGCACGGCGCTCATTCCGTGCATTCTGCCCGCCCCTAGGGTGTGGAGTTTGCATGTACACTGGGTGCTTGGTTGGACAGTGGCCTTGGATGGTGATAGCCAGGGTTCCAGGAAGACAGGTGTGTAAAACCTCTGTGGTTGTACATTCGGGCCAAGAGGTACCAGCTTCCCAAGGATAAAGCCCTAAAGGAGTTCACGGCACAAACAGAAGTTAAGGAAATCAAAGGGCAAGTTACTGAAACTTGAAATTCAGTAGGTAGTTGCCAGCAGAGTTGATGTAGATAAAGATGCAATTACTGAACTGCAGCACAGGTCTGGGGAACTACCCATATTGCCACAGGGACACAGCGCCCTGCAGGGAGGTGGTGGACAGCAAAGGAGATCCCACTGACTTGTTTCCTGGGACCACTGTAACCAAGGACCACAGACTTGAGGCTTCAATAACAGAAATGTACTTTCATAGTTCTGGAGGCCAGCCATCTGGGATCAAGACATCAGCACATTGCCAAGTGTAGTGGCTCACACCTGTAATCCTGCCTCTCTTAGAAGGCCGAAGCAGCTAAATCACCTGAGCTCAGGAGTTTGAGACCAGCCTGGGCAAGAGCCAGACCCCGCCTCTACTAAAATAGAAAAATTAGCCAGGCATTGGGGTGGATGCCTATAGTCCCAGCTACTCAGGAAGCTGAGGAATAAGGATCTCTTGGGGTGGCATCTGTGGCTCAAAGGAGTAGGGCACCAGCCCCATATGCCAGAGGTGGTGGGTTCAAACCCAGCCCTGGCCAAAAACTGCAGGAAAAAAAAAAAAAAGGATCTCTTGAGCCCAGGAGTTTGCGGTTGCTGTGAGCTATGACACCACAGCATTCCACTCAGGGCAACAAAGTGAGACTATTTTTCAGACAAGGACATCAGCAGCTTGGTTCCCTCTGAGGCCTGTGAAAGACCCATTGGCTCCAGGCTCTGTCCCTGGCTTATAGGTGCCACTTTCTGTGTCTTAGGGCTGTCTGTGTGTGCATGTATGCCTCTGTCCAAACCTCCTTTTCATAAAGACACCTGACTGGGTTAGGCTCACTGTAATTATGTCTCATCTTGATCATCTGCAGAGACCCTATTTCCAGACAAAATCACAGGATCTAGGTGTTAGGACTTCAGCATCTTTTGGGGGGACATAAGCCATGATAGTCTCGTAGAAGTTCTAGAAGAATAGGGAGCATAGGATAGAAGGACTGTCCAATGAGGTAATGGCTAAGAGATTTCCAGAATTAATAAAGACATTCATACTCTGAAACATCCCTGAGTCCTGAGATGAGCAAATAAAAGTGATTCCACATACAGAACCACATAGCAGTAACCAAAACACCAAAGACAGGAAAACTCAGGGTCAGCAGAGGACAGGCTAGAGGACAGGACCAGCTCCTACTAACTCTGTGCCTGTTTGCTGTGAGGCTCCAACCTGCCCTGTCTCTTTGCCCCAGGATTTCCTGATGGAGGCCCCTTACCTCCCCCATCACCTAGGTTCTTCCTGACCTGATCCTGCTAATTACTGACTCCCAACTCAAGTCTTCTATACCCACTGCAGGGTAGCTCTGAAATGCCACCTGGCCATGTTGGGGGAGGAAGCATTGGGGCACCATGGTCCTCATCTTAAGCTGGGCTTGGAAGGGCTGGTGTGTCCATAGGGGGCCATATGCTGGGTGAGCCACATCAGAACATCACCTGTAGGCAGTACTATGGCCCCCAGTGAAATCTAGTCCTCAAGATCCTAGTGCTAGGTTTTTTACTCAATCATTTGTTTTCTGACAGAAGTTGCAGAAGGAAACCCGACACAGCCACCCTCCCATGAAGACTTGTAACATGCGCCCAGCCTCAGACTTGCCCTTTAAATTATTCAGAATGATGTCCTCTATAGAGCAGGGAGGGTCTGGGGACGTTGCCCTCCTCCTGCAGGTGGACAGTTGGAAGGAGAAGCTTCTTTGAAACAGTTGATACTCGGCCCTTAAAGCTGCATTTCTTGGTTGTTCACAAACAGACTTGTATATTTTGATACAGTTCTTTATAATAAAATTGACCGTTGAAGGTAGTCAGGAAAACACAAGCATGGGGTTGCCTCTCTACAAACGTATAGGCCCTTAAAAGTGAGTTTGCACCATCCTGCCAGAGCTGGGAGTTGGCCAGGACCGCCGAGGTCTGCAGAGGACACAGATGCAGCAGGTCTTTTTCAGGCACTTGGCTTTTCTGTCCCTGAATAGGGGTGAGAGGGAGACAGTGTGCTTGGTATGGGGGAGAGGGAGGCCCCAGCTCAGGCAGGATCCTCTCTGGGGGGCCCTGCTATAGTGAATGTCCCAGGACTACAAAGAAGAAGGGGACCCTCAGGTGGGGGAAAGGCCATCTTTGGGGCAGAACTGGAAAAAACATTAGTCAAACCCCAAGGCCAGTTCTTCATCTGGAAATGAGACTCCAAGAAAAAAGCTGGCTGTGGGGTGAAAAGGCTGTGGCTCTGGCACACCTGCAGCAAATGCCCAGGGGAGCCAGTGGTCCCTAAAGCCCACTCCACCTGGCCCATCCCTCTGGGTGGAGGGCTGCTCCCCTGCTTATGCTGGCCCCTGTGTTTTGACATCAAGGGCCTCTAGTCCATCTCTCAAAGCCCCCATCTTGCTGGGCCCTGGGTGGTCAGTCTTACCTGGGCACAGGCAGGTATGGGTCAGTCTCGCCTCTGGCTCCTCCAGCTTCTTCCACCTGATCTTGCTCCTGCTCCATCTGGCCCCAGGGCAAGGCGCCCTGAACAGCTAGAGCACACGGCTGGGGTAGGGCTGCTTTTGTTCACCTCAGACCCATGAGGGAGTCTGCTGGGGGCACAGCAGCACCTAACAGGCTGGCACTGGTCTCCGTATGCCAGGTGGTCCCTGCACAGCGGAGATCATCATAGTGCAGCTGGGGTAGTGGATGGGTAGGCCACAAGGTGCTTTGAAGTGCTGAGCAGGCCACAGGGATGGTCATGAGAAGGCAGGGGCAGGCAGAAGACAAGGTTGACACAGGCTGTGCTGAGGATGGGAGGGTCATCAGGTAGGTGTGATGCTGGGCAGTGATGTAGTGGACAGGTGGAAAACCAGGAGAGTCAAAAAGGCCCCTGGCCTAGGGAGCAACTTGGTGGGGGGGTGGGGGGGTGGGTGAGGTGTCTGGGGAAGGAGAGGCTACAAGTCCAGCAAGAGCTAGAGCAAGGTCTTCCCCACATGTACACTTGGGTACACTCATGCCACCTGCATACACAGCCCAGCGGGTTCCTCGTGGGAAAAGTATTTGGCCGGACCTAAGCTGCCCCTGAGACGCGTGACCCTGCTGGGTTCAGGCGCTTGGCGCCAATGCCACCTCCCAGCTGGGAACCGCGCGGCTCCAGATGCTGCTGTCTGCCTGGCCCACCTGCCAAAGCACGGGCACATAAACTGGGCTTAGGTGTTGGTGACTACGGGCTCTGGAGTCTGTTACCCTGCTCACGCAGCTCCGCCCGCGGGCCCTCCAGCTCCCGCGCCACTCGGCCCTGGCCCTGCAGCCTGCGCATGGACAGCGGGACCCCGGGTGAGCATGGCTTGGTGCCAGCAGGTGGCGCTGTGGGGCCGCTGCCCTCCAGCTGTGTTCATGGTGGAGGGGGAAGCAGGAGAGGGATAAAGGGTCTCCGTGTCCCCTGGGGACACAGCGGACACTCAGGTCCTGGAACACCCTGCCAGGCTAGAAGCCTCCGGAAGCTCCCCTCTGTGATGGCCTGCCCCTGCTCCAGCTTCGCAGTTGAGTGTGTCCCCGCTCTAATGCCACGGATGTTGCAGGGACCCCGGGCTTTGCTCTCCATAGGCAGCCACCATGTCCCCTCAGTACACAGGCCATGTCTGGAGTCGCCTGTTTGCCATGACTGGGGGAGGGGGTGCCATCAACATGGAGCTTGGAGGCAGGGAACACCCCACCCTGGGACACCCAGACCAGAGCCCATGGGCAGCTACCTGGCCCTCCTTCAGCAGAGGTGCTCTGGGAGAAAAGTTGGAGGGTGTGAATACATGTCTCTTCTATGAGAAGGCCACCTGTATATGCAGGACACTAATGTCCTTCTGTCCCAGAGTTACCCTGTACATCTGGAAACAACCGTCCTTGGGCCTGCCACCTTCTAACAGGGCATGTCTGGAGAACCAGGGCCAGAGGGCAGTGTGGATGCATGGCCATGGGCATTCTGTAGCCAGACAGTCCTCTGCCAGGGACCAGAGCCATCCCAGGAGTTCTGCACCCTCCATGGGCACTTGGTCTGGAATCCCACCTTTCCCCCCCCACACCTTCAGTCTAGGGGTCAGACTGCATATCACAGCAGGGGCACTTCCTGCTGCTTGGACCAGACCAGCCCTGCTCTGCCCCAGAGCTGCCCCCAGGCTGGCCCTGGGACTGGGTTGGAGCAAACTCCTGAGTGTGGAATGAGCCACTCGGCACCTAGACGTCTTTCCCATGCCCTGTGTTCCAGTGGAGAAGCAAGTGCAGCCACTTGTCCTCTGCTGGGGGGAGGGGGTTCTCACTCCAGAGCACAGGCATCCAATAGTGCTCCAATGCGCTGCCACTTCACGTGGTTTCTTCCCAGGTATGGGCCTGGGGTCCACGAAGGTCCTGGCGGGTCCTGAAGTGTCAAGAAACTGTGGGCTGAGAATTCTGGGTCTGTTGTGTCCATTCCTGCCCAGGCAGCACCCTGATCCTTCAGGCACCGGGTTCCTCCTGACCTCTTACCCTTTCACATTTTCTTTCCAGGGCATCAGGGTGGCCAGCAGCAACCTGCAATGACACTGTCCCCAAGGTGATGTTCCATATCCAACTAGTCCCTCTCAACTCAATCCTCTCAGCCCACCACACAGATAGTTATGAACCAGGCCTCCCCATACTTCCCACACTGTGTGTCCTCAGTCGACCACACAGTGGCATGAAGCTGAGGCAGCTTTCAGAGGAGGATGGCACTGTGGTAGAGGCTCCTCCAGCTGAGGCTGTTCCCACAAGGGCTCACAGCAGGGTCCCAGCATATCTTGCAGGTTCGTCCTTCCCACTCCCCATTCCAGGCCCTACAGCTGCCATCCTGTCACACCTCACCTGTAGGCCACCTCCCTCTCCAGCCTCTTCCTCGACCAGGGCCTGTACCGCTAGACCTCACTACCCAACTCCTACCTGCTCCTGGTGGAAGTGCCAGGGACACCACCTCCAGCAGCCCTCAAAGACTGAACACAGGTGACAAACACTGCAGGCCTCCTCCAGCTGATCAGCCTCCACCAGCCAGGGCTACGGCTGGTGGGTACCCACCTAGCACTCTGACTCCCTGCCACCACAGCCCTTGTGTAGGCTTGGCCCTTTGGGACCCCAGCCCTCCTCTAGCTTGGACATGGCCCCTTTGGCTCCTTCTGCTCTGCTTGGGTGGAGGCCAACCCACCTGGACAAGCAGCCATGTCAGGGCTTAAGGCTGGGCTAGGGCCATGGTGCCCACAGCTTGCATACAGGGGCTGATAGGGACCATGCACCTGCTAGGCCCTACAGGGGAACATCAGGGGGTACTGGAGAGCGCAAGGACTCAGGTCCTATGAGTGGTGTGGAGGCCAGCCATAGATCTCTGTTGGAGCCTGGAGCTCAGGCCATATCCCTTCTGGGACCAAGGGCCTCTCAGAGGGCTCACTGTGTGCGGTCAGCACAGAGGCTAGGATGGTGGGCTCTGCATTAGCTGGGACAAGGGGCCCAGCCTGAGGGGGCTCTGAGGGGGACCCACCTCTCAGAGACCCCATCCTCCCACTGCTGGTGGGGTCCTGGAGAGAAGTTTTGAGGTGGCATCACTAGGCTGGGCCTGTCCAGCCAGTGCTGCTCTCCCTCCAACCTGGCATCTGGGACACGCCGGGGCCCCTCAGTTCAGCAGTTGTCTGAGCCAGCTCTCTGTGTCCACCACCTGAAGCAGGGGCTCCCACTCAGCAGAGGGAGGTGTTCAGGCCCCCCAGGACTGCAGGCCACCTGGCGGTCAAGGATCTTGGGGCGGTCACGGCCCCCCACCAGGGTCACCCGTGGGTCTCCGCGTCCCTGTCCTGGAAGGGGGTGCAGCTTGTCGACCCCTCGTCTTGGTAAGGATAGGGCGCGAGGACCCACCCGGAGACCCTGGCCCGGGACCTCCCGCTGCTTGGAACCCAGTTCCCTTTCAGCCGCGCAGTGCAGGTGGGGGCGGGGCGGGGCGCAGGCGGGAAGTGCGGGCGCGGCCCTGCCGGGAAGGGGGAAGTGCCGGAAGCCTCCGCTGAGCTTTCCGGAGAGGGAGGGGCGGAAACGGGGACGGGGAGGAGCGGGGCGTGGAGGTTGGTGGGGTCTGGGGCGGAGCCGGAAGTAGAGGAGGGTCTGGGGGAAGTGAAGTTCGGGGTTGTGGCAACGTCCTTAATCAGACAGCTCTACGGGACCACCATGCGCTGGGAGCGAACCTCGACGCGGCCGTCCACGATTTTCTTTGGAAGCGGGAAGAGGTGGTGGCCGCGTGGCTGTGCTGCCGCCCTGGGTCCCCGGAGGAGCCAAGCCTTGCCCCCACCTCTACCCCAGGCCGGCCCGCCCGGCGTCCCTGGCGCGGGCTCGGTCTTTCCTGCCTCCTCTGCAACCCAGTGAGCCTAGGGCGAGGAGGGGACCCCAGCCATGCTGCGCCTTCTGTAGGCCCTAGTCTGATCTTTCTGGGAGTTTGTGCCGCTTTTGAAGTTTCATAAATACCAAAGGGAGTGAGCTTCAGACAGAACAGGAGCTATGGGGCTGCTTGTTGGGGTCCCCACCGGGCCTGGCTGCCGCCCCCCCCAGTGCAGCTCAAAGGCCCAGCTGACTTGTCTCAGGCTGCCTGTCTGCTGCCCTGATGCCTAATCATCCTGCCAGAGGCAGCCTGGGGGCTTGCACATCTCTCCCCCTGCAGCCCCACTGCCCTTTCTTAGCCCTCCCCACCCCCTACCCGTGCTGCGACCTGAGAATCAGGAAGATGCCCTGACCTCAGCACCCCTGCTCCATCCTGGGGACCCCTGCCGCCCCACCCCCCAGGCCCACCATCTGCTCAAGGTATTGGGCTGGATGCACTACCCAGACCTCCCACTTGCTGTCCCCGGTGAACTGCAGACCCTTGATCAGCTGCTGGCCAGATAACAGTGGCCCTTGTCTGGCAGCCTGGGTGGGGGCTGGGGTACCAGCCTGGGGTGTCTCCGTAGAGAATGGCACCCACCCCCACCTCCCCAAGGCAGCAGCAGGCATTGTCCATTCACCCTCACTATTAATAGCTCCTCTCTGCTTGGAGCTGCTATAAATAGCCCCCAGCCCCTCACACAGGCCCATTCAGGCACTTGCTGCCTACGGTAGCACAGGCGCCCACACAGGCTCCCTCAGAGCCGTGCATGCCGGGCATCATGCCCACCCGTCTGCCCAGCAGACAGGCCCAGTGCTGTCCCTGTGGTCTTCCCTGGGCCTCGTTCAGCAGGGAGGGGCCCAGCCTGCTTTGCACCCTCTTTCTGCTCCTGTGGGCCCTTTTCAGGGACTTTGCATGTCGGGGACATTCTCTGACCCTCAAAGAGCAGGCATCAGGGTGAGCACCTGGCAAAGTCCCCAGGGCAACTATCAGGAGACCCAGCCAGTGCAGGACCCAGCCCTGGTCCTCTGCTCCAGGCACTGCAGCACCATGCCATGAGGCTCAGCTCACAGGTTCTTCTAAGCTCCATAGGACACAGGCTCAGCATGGCCTGCCTCAATAACTGTGGGTCTCACAGACCCCAGAGCTGGTCCAGCCACCTGCCTGCTTTGTGGAACAGCCTTATTGAGGTTGGGCAAGGTACAACTCATTCCCAGCTTGACAGAGCAGCCACTGGGCCCAGAAGACCCTGCCCCACTGGGTCCTCTCCCACCTGCCTGGCCTCCCAAAGTGCCTGGCCCCTGTGGCTGGTAGTGACAGATCAGATGGGGGTATGGGGGCTACTGTTACTGTGTTGAAAGGAGAAAAGGAAAACAACGCTGTTTACAGAAAAGGCTCGTCCAATCCCTCTGGCCAGTGGCCTTCTAGGAGGACAGAGGTCCTTTGTTGGGGAAACAGGAAGCGAGGATTTCCAGGACCTGTCAGGCCACCCGTTGGCCGCAGACCCAGCTTCCGCTGATTCTCAGCGGCCTCTGCTGGCCACCAGCTGCCCATCATCCACCCACTTTGTCCATGCCTCTGACCATGGGATCTAGGCTTCCGGCTTTGGAACAAAGCTGTCCATAAACATTCAACCTCATGGTGGGGGTGGGCACCTGGAGGCCATTTCTTTCTCCACTACAGCCCTAGTCACACAGGATAAAAACCCATAGTGGTGTGGGTGGGGAGAGCTGGCTCCAAGTAGAGCTGTGAGCACAGAAGGCCTGGCCCTTTGAGCATTGCCACCTACAGGCTACAGACCCATGCAGGAAACCCACTGAGAGACCGTGTAGGCAGGGGTCTCCGTTAGGTGGTGTTACATGATAGCCAAGGATGCCACGGGCCACCTGGAGATAGTGTTTATAGTACTCAAGTCCCTGACCAGAAGGCACACCTCACATGGGGAAGGGCTGTGCCAGGCATGGGGAAGGTCTGGAGCCTTGGACGCTGAAACAGCTGAAGGCCACCTGGGCTGCACTGCGCACCCCCTAATAGCCAGGTAAGGCTTTGGGGTCAGTAGACATTGTGTCTTTGCTACCCAGGCTAACATAGGGCTGTGGCCCACACAATGCTGACTCTTTACTAACCTACCACAGCATGGGCAAGTGTCCACTCATGTGGACACATAGGTGGGCAAGTGTCCACTCATGTGCACACATAGGTGGCATCTCACATGTGGGCCATGCACACTCTAGTACACACCCACACCCACAAGCACAGACATGGGGGCACCGATCATCAGCACAGAAACGCCATCCCCACATGCAAGACATAAGCAGCTGACCCCTTGTGCCCAGAACTGCTCCCAGTCCCTGCAGAAGTTTCTCTGGATCTCTAAGGGGTTCCATGCTACATGCCCTGACCAGGTTCCCCATGAATCAGAGCAATTGGCATGGCACCTTCCAGGTCCACTGTGACATTAGTCCTTGGGGTGGATGTGCAATGGTGTGGGGCGTGTCCAGGGACAGTCCAGGTGCACAGGAGGGTGAGTGGTCACCAGACCCTGGTGCTGACCTTCCTCTCTGTCCACAGGCCACCGTGGGAGCCACTTGCCGCCCACCATACCTGTCCCTCAGGGCTGCATCTCTGGGAGTGGAGAAGACACCATGCTGCCCCAAATGAGAAGCTCTGTCCAGGCCACTGGCTGACTCTCTGCCCCCCACCTCCATGGCCCAAGTTTGTAGTTTCCTGTGATGGTTCCGTGGTTGGACCCTCACCCAAGCTATTCTGAAGGTTTCCATTCTTTCTCCTGTTCAATCAGCATCTCCTAAAGGGAGGAGGAAGGTGCTCAGGAGTTCAGCTTATCTGTGTTGGTGGGGTGCTGGGGGGACTGAGGCTGGAAAGTGGCCCCCAGTGCACAGGTAGTGGGTGGTGGAGCTGGTGCTGGTCTGCAGTGTTGAGGTGGGGCCTGAGGCTTGCTCTCACCCATGGGCTGGAGCTGCACCGAGGGGCTGTGACTAAGGCTAAGGGAGTGCTCCTTCTGCTGAGTGAGCACAGCCTGAGGCCTGGCATAAGGGAGGCCAGGAAATGCCTAGCTCAGAAGGAGGGGGCTTGGAGCACCCAGGAGGGGCGAGCAGTGGCAGAATTCCAAGACTTCCAGAGGCTGGGGAAAACTGGGAGAGGAGTGTGATTCCAAGGTTGGGGTCAGAAGCGAGGTGGACCAATTTGGACATATTGCCCTTGACCTACTGAGCAGAGATCCCAAGAGATCCCCCTTTCTGTGGTGGACATAAAATTTGGAGTTAGAGAGGCAAATTAGGGGAGAAAGAGTCAGAGAAGGGCCCAGCTCTCCTGTCAGATGATGTCCTTTCCCCTCCATCTGTAGTAGCCACAAGCCCAGGCCAATCATCCACAGTCCAGGTTAGTGTCTGTGATCCCTGTGTCCAGTCCTTGGCTTTCCTACAAGGGCACACACACTACTGGCCTATAGTCAGTTTTCCATCAGCCTGACCCCCCTGGGAGGGCAGTGACCCCTGACCTCTTACCAAGAGACCCCATTAGTCATGCTAGGCCAGACACATAGCAGGTGCTTAGCAAAGGGCAGGCTAAATGCTGTGGGCCCTCTCTCCAGACACTCCCTGACCCTATGGAGTCTGTCTGCCTTCTGGAAAGGACAGAAGTGGCTTCTGGGAGGGTTGGAACTTGCAGTAGATGGGAAAAAGGAAGGAAGGGGCACCTACCTCCACGACATCTGTTCTGTGAGAGGGGACACGGAAGCCCCCATTGGAGATGTTACCTTGGCCAGCAGGGCATCTGCCTGTGTTCCAGAAAAGAAGGGGGTACCCAGAGGCCTGGTGGCTGGTTTGCTACCAAGGAAGAGGCTGCTTCAGGGAAACTCAGCCAAAACCTCTGGCCATTTATCCAACCATCTGTCTGTTCTTCTGTTCATGTGTCCACCCATCCAGTTGCCTCCAGTGCTGCAGACTCATAGGCTCCCCAGAAAGTTTCCCCAGGAAAGTTCATTTGATGGTGAGTAAATGAATTAACCCATTATCAGTTCATCCTTCACTCTCCCTCCTTGCATCCTGGGGCCTGCCACCAGGGAGCTTTTAGGGAAGAACTATTAAGCTAGAAATGAGGCTGGCTCAAGTGGCTAAGGTGCCAGCCACATATACCTGAGCTGGTGGGTTCAAATTCAGCCTGGGCCCACCAAACAATGACGGCTGCAACCAAAAAATAGCCAGATATTGTAGCAGGTGCCTGTAGTCCCAGCTACTTGGGAGGTAGAGGCAGGAGAATCTCTTGAGCCCAGGAGTTGGAGGTTGCTGTGAGCTGTGA